GATTTGGTGAACTGGTTCAACCGGTTCACTAAGAAGAACCGGTTAAATCGAACGATTCGTTCGCGAACCGGACATCACTAATTGTTTGCCAATGATTCACTGCCTCCCTCATTCAGACCACCTGCTGGCGATTTCGGTTTCATATTTCAAAATATCACTTCATTTCACGATAGAAAGGCGTCCGCCTGTAATATAGACATGTGTTTTCATCACCTGTGTAACTTAATATCCCGATGTCCCGAGCTGCGTCTGCTCTCACTGCTATAGGCAGCAGCGTATTCCGGATCAGTCGACCAGCCTTGAGGATCTTATTTTTGTGGCTTCTGTCTTCTGCTTCCAGACCAGCGGAAAAATAAGGCTTGATATAATTATCGTACAATGAGGAGAGGAACCGAATCATGCGGCTGCCTGTCTTGAAACACTTTTCAAAAAGCTTTTTTCAAAACAGAACGTTGTTTTCATTTCATGAAGCTCGTTATCGTGACATCATCCATTTAGTACGTTTTCACAAAAGCCTTCATAAAATGCCTTTTACACTTACAAAAACACCTTTTTTAATGTCCATTTGCTTCAGAAAAATGTTAATGCTCGGTTCATTTAATGAAAATGAACTAAAGCAGCACAATTACTGCACATTTTGTCATTATGTAATTTCGTTACGGACAACATTAATCATTTGTGTTGCCATTATTACCTGAAACTGGACTGTGAATTTCTAGTTCCCAGCATGCTTTGCCATGGACTGGATCACGAAACTGCTGAACTTGTGTTATTTTGTTCTACATTAATGAACAACAGCTGTTCTAATGTCTGTGCAGTTCTTGATCCTCTCATATTGTACATATAGTAAAAATTGTTTCAAATTTACCATGCACTACAGGCATTAAAAACAGCACAATGCCATATCTGATAATTATGTAAAAATAAATTTTATTGCCACTTTCAGCAGAGGAAATACAGTAAACTCAAAAATGAAAAGAAAAAAAAAATGAAACCGTGAGGGAACATTAGCATTGTGACATCAAGTGAGATCTGCTTTCATTCAAACAGTAGTAGCTAAAGCTATTGCAAGCTGTGCGCTCAAGCCCTGGACACACACAGTCACATGCTCACAAAACCATAACAACAACAGCTTTCCTATCAAGAAGGACATTAATTTACATTTTAATGAGGTTTGAACAATAAATGCATTTGAATTTCACTGAGCTTCAGTCTGAGATGAATACAAGGCAATACATGTTAATTCAACCTTCTTACTTGATATCTCTGTGCAAAGAAAGACATTCTCAAGGAGTGCTCACCAATGCCCAGGGTCAAATACTGTAACGGTGGTCATTAGACAAACTCACAAAGAAAGAAAACACAGCCATTAATTTCTGTGACTGAATACAGAAAACTAGCATAAACAAAAGTATTATTTTTGAATATCTGTTATAGATAATTCTGATAAATAGAAACCACAAAACGGCCTTAAATATATTGACTTCTGTATCATTATGGCTTTAGGAGTTTGTGCGGTAAATGCCAAATAACATGTTAACAGTAACACCAAAACAACCACCAAACAGTTGTGCTTGTGAGGCATATACTTCAGTAACCTTTCTGAAGTATATAAATTAATGTGCTCCTTTGATAGATTTAAGCCCCTGCTTCCGTACAATTCTCAATGTCATAGAAAATATTGCAAAAATAGGTCAGGTGATCTACAAAACTGCGTTTTAATTGCCGCCATAAGCGTAAATTCACATTTGAGAGCTTTAAAGATCAACACGGTGTGTAAACGTGTCAAAGCGAGGCAAGTGTTCGGTTACCAAAGAGCGTTTTCTCAGGTCAGGTGTATTAGCATACCGAAAAGACGTTTAGGAAAGGTTCCCTTGAGAACAAATACTGTATAACTCCATGAATACACTGTTAAAAGATGATACTGATCAATAAAACATCTTTCTATATGTAAAATGCCAACTATATATATATATATATAAAAATTCATAGTGAATAGCCCTAATCAATAATACCTAATCATATTGTGAACTGATGTTTAGTACATCGTTAAAACAATCTGTTGTAAATAAAACAAATGATATTACAGTCACATGACGCAGTAGTACAGTAACAATAGGCACAGAAGCGAGTTTGGATCACAGAGCAAAATATACTTCCAGTCTTCATTTACGTACAAACCAAAAACTCACAGTAATGCATCACGCTTCTCTGACTGAATATAGTGTAAAAGTGCTTTTTCAGATACTCTGATGGGCTCCAAACAGCGCTTGTTGTAAGATCCCATGCGCTCAGGCATTAGTACCAAGTTAATGCAAGTGTTCACTACAGGCTCCGTCCATAGAAATATTTCCTTCTGACCAGTGAAGGCAAGCAAGCGCAGTAAATCAGCAGTCCACCATCCACACCGGTTTTTTCAGTAGTCCATACAACCGGCTGGGTCCAAACAGCACACAAAATCTTTCCTTTCCCAGTCTGTCCAGGTCAAAAAAACTCAAGCGGGGAGCATTAAAACAGTCCCTTATAATCCCTGAAACGGAACGGCACGTACAGAGGAAAACAAAAATCCCAGGACAACATTAAAATAGGATTTGCTTTCTATTTACACGCCTCCAACAGTGCAACTGCAATCTGCATATAACTAACTTCCAATAATAACACTCTTATTGTTCAATCAGCAACAATGACTCCGGACCACTGTGACACGAGAAGTAAACATCCTGCAGAAAAGGAGAGTCTGTGATGAAGGTCTCAAGATATGGGCCTAAATCGCAAGAAAAGGCCAAGCTTCACTTTCCCCTTGTTAGCAGGTGGTGTGTATTTCACGTCTGAAGTGTGCAGGGTCACAGGAGGGATAACGAGTCGTTTTTCTAAAATGAAGTGGTAACAGCGTTACCGTGGCGAGTCCCGAGCCGCACCATTTCCCTCGGTACTGTGTCCAACTGCTCGTATGCCAGCCGCCCGTCTTCACCTGAGAACAGAAACACACAAACATGCTCTGTAAGAAACAGGAAGGCTTTCAGGTGATGTTTACAAGCATTGAGACCATGTATGATTTACATGTACATGTTTAAGACCTGCACAAATAAAATTGATATTGAAATTGAATTGTCTTTTACTTTAGTTAGTTAAAGGGGTGATATTATGCTTTTTTAAAGATCATTATTTTGTGTATTTGGATCTTATCTATGCACAATCAGCTTGTAACACTCCAAAGAGAAAGGAAAACTTGAAATCGCATCATATGACCCCTTTAAGTTTGGGGTCAGTAAGAATTCTTTACGAAATTATTCAGCAAGTACACATTAAATTGATCAAAAGTGATCTAAAAAAAGGAATCCTGAAAAAAAAAATCTTTCCACAAAATATTAAGCAGCACAACTGTTTTCAACACTGGTGATAAACGTTTGCTGATACAATAATAGTGTGTTTAAATAAAGGCAATTAACAGATTGTGCCAATATTAATTAAATGTATGTACTGTACGTGTTAAATTATGCTCTTAGTCTTTTCCTCCTTTTTAATTATAAACAAGTCTGAAATAGTTTGGGACTCTTATTTTGAAATGTCTTTGCTTTCCTATTCCCAGCTACTTGTTCAAAAAGATGGAGATAAAATAAGCACTCTTACATCTGTCTACAACATATTACAATATAAACACTAAAAAAGTAAACATTGTCATAATTCAATATACACTGTCATAATTGTGATTCCTGTTTTTCCGTCCACAAATTTAAAATCTTTTAAAATGTTAGGTACAACTTTTATTAAATAATTATTCATTGTTATGACCTTGCATTTGATAAACAATTTAAGACATTTTAAAGTGATAGTTCACCCAAAAATGAAAATTACCCCATGATTTACACACCCTCAAGCCATCCTAGGAGTATATGACTTTCTTCTTTCAGACAAATACAATTGGAGTTCTATTAAAAAATGTCCTGGCTCTTCCAAGCTTTATAATGGCAGTGAAAGGAGTGCGAAGAGATGAACGTGGAAGTGCAGAGGAGAGAACAAAACAAAACACCGGTCACAAATTAGAAGTACAAAACAAGGATTTGTGGTTACACTTTATTTTAAGGTGTCCTTGTTACAGTGTAATTATACATTTAAGTACTGAGTAATATTAATTAACTACATGTACTTACTATATGGTTAGGGTTAGGATTAGGGTTTGGCTTAGGGTTACTTGCATGTAATTATGTATAAATTATTGTTATTATAATAGTAAGTACATGTAACGTGTAACAAGGACACCTTAAAATAAAGTGTTACCGGATTTGTAACGAAAAATGTCAGGGGGTTTCAATATAAGCCAAGAAGAGACTGGTTTTCCTTTGCTGTAACCAAAATTTGGTTCTCACGAGACTAGCATATTCTCACCGGATCTTACGCTACGTCTACGTCATCCGTCATCCGCTGGAACGCCACTCTCTTATGAATGTGTGAGTGGAAACTAGAGATTTATAAAGTTTTAAATATGTAGATTTTCTTACAAAAACACATTGATTCACTTCAGTAAGCCTTTATTCACCTCCCCAGAGCCATGCGGAGTACTTTTAATGATGGATTTATGCACTTTATTGGACTTGAAAAACTTAAACCCCATTTACTGCCATTATAAGCCTGGAAGAGCCAGCACATTTTTTAATATAACTCCAATTGTATTTGTCTGAAAGAAGAAAGTCATATACACCTAGAGCGGCTTAAAGGTCATTTTTGGGAAAACTATCCCTTTGAGACTTGTTAAGGAACCGTAGGCACCCTGGTGCAAGCATACTTCTAAAAGTTAATCATACAGTCTTTCTCTTCTGGGAAAACATACCAAAAATATTGATGACTTCATAGTATACACACAGCATAAAATGCTGTCTAGAATGGGGTCTCAGTCAGATTTACACTAATTTGCAGACAGAGCATAAACTGACTGAACTGACTAATAGTGCAGAGGATGTGGCATTCGTGTGACTGGATGTTTTACCGAAAGTGAGGAGGGTTTCTATGGCAATCTGGCAGAGATCTTCATCTGCTGAGTCACACAGTAACACCACAGCATCAATGCTCTCCACAGCCTGAAAATAACCCCCGACAGACAGAGAGGCTTAATGAAAAGTCTGGTAAACAATCACAGATATGATTTAATCTTCAGTTTAGTCTTTAGTGTGATCCAATCAAAGAGGCGAACTGACCTGCAGGCAGCTCAAAGCGGCACATGCATCTCTTGATCTGTCTACTTCTGATAAGGCTTGTGTGTAACAATCAACAGCCTGTTGAAGACAAACACACAGACAAGATTAACTTCATCGCCTCCTGGTGTCCTCAAACAGCTGTACTGCTGCCACTATGATGATTCAAATTTGCACATTTAATTTTTCAATATTTAATCATATATTTATGGTTTCTTTTTATTCTTATTTTTCTATTTCCTCATTTATATTATTTGTTATTTTATTTGTACCTTATTATGCAATCATGAGATATGCATCTAAGATTGTTTCCATCAGTTTTTATGCTTTTTTTTTGTTTTTTTTTACCAAGTTTGGGATTTATGGTTTCTTTTTATTCTTATTTTTCTATTTCCTCATTTATATTATTTGTTATTTTATTTGTACCTTATTATGCAATCATGAGATATGCATCTAAGATTGTTTCCATCAGTTTTTATGCTTTTTTTTTGTTTTTTTTTTACCAAGTTTGGGGTCAAGTTCTGTTTTTTTTTTTTTTTTAATTAAGCAAGGATGCATTAAATTTATAAAAAAAGACAGTTCTTCTTCGATATATATATAAAAATAAATGTTTCTTGAGCAACAAATTAGCATATTAGAATGATTTCCGAAGGATCATGTAACACTGAAATATGGAGTAATGATGCTGAAAATTCAACTTTGCATCACAGGAATAAATTACATTTCAAAATATATTCAACTAGAAAACAGTTATTTTAAATTGTAAACATTTTTCACAATATTACTGTTTTTACTGTATTGATCAAATAAATGCAGCCTTGAAGACCTTTTTCAAAAGCATGAAAAAAAAAATCTTAACAACCTCAAACTTTTGAATGTCAGCTTATGTAGATTTAAACCTGGCTATAGACCGACCTATTAATCAGCTCCACCAATAGCCAACCATGTGCTGTACAAGCCAGGTAAAAGACTGACCTTTGACCTGAAGGGTTTGTGTGAGGCAGCAGAGGAGAGGAAGGCTGTAGCGGCCTTCATCACATCAGGGTCATCAGAGGTCAACAGCCCAGCCACGGCCCACAAGGTTTGAGGGCGGGGCTGAAGACACATGACGGACACTTCCTGTAGTTCCTTCACACAGCGTTCTGTATCCCCACAGCTCAGGGCTTCTTCAAGCATGACTGGTTTGGACACAGAGAGTTTTACGCTATGCTAAAACTGTGCTAATAATAAATAAAGCTTTAAACTCATTATTCAATAAAGCGTCTTACCCTCTTTGGCTAAATCCAGCAGGTGCCGCTCCATGTCCGTGACATCGTGTTCAAGAGTGTAACGGTGAAACTGAAACACAGTGAGGATATCCTGTGCCAGAGGGGACAGCGATGGACACAAGGAAGAGGCCAGCTCGCTCCTGTCCATCATCTCATTCACCACCATCCTGATCACTGGATACACATGCAAACACAGGCAGATGAACTCTGATGTCACATTCACTGATGTTTCCTCCTGCAGATTAATATTGTTGTTATTGTCACTACCTGAGTCAGGAGAGTGAGGCAGAATCTGATGCAGTGGTAATGCAAAGCTGAGATGCATGTGCTTCAGCACTCGGTCCAGTGTAGTATGAAACAGACCACCACTGCAGTCAGACCACAGAGACATCAGCGCAGGATGCTCCACCAGCCCAGGCAACACTGTTTAGGGAACCAAGAGAGGTTATTTCACAAACACAACTTTTCACCACACCTAACAAAGGAAATTTAGCAGTCATAAATATTTCTTAGGTGCCATGAAATTGTATTTCATTCACATTATAACTGCAGGTCATTTTGCCACTTGTATTATAATTCCTTGGTTTAACAAAAACCTCAGGACACGTTGTGATTTTGTTCCTCACATTTTCATTTGGTAGCTTAGTTTATGCAATATCACACATACATGTCATCACATTAAAAAAAAAAAGCTTTACTTTTAAAAATTATTATTATTAAATACATTTTTATTATAGCATTATCACTACAGTAAAATATATATATTGATTTTAAAATTTAATAAAATAAAATAAAATATTGTTTAGCATATATATATATTTATACAACAGTTCGTTCTGGTTCTCAAATCTGATTGGTTGAGAACCGTGAGATATTGTACTGGTATCGCTACAGGAACGCCCTTTCACAATTTTGTATCATTCCACTTGTTCTAGCCGGGTCTATGTTTTTTTAATTATTCACTATATATATGGGTCAGATTTATCATTTTTGCTATTACATTGAAAGTATGTAATTTTGTTGTGGCTTTCCAAAGTGATTATTACTTGCACTTGGTTATTGTTAATTTTAGACCCTGATTACTTAAGTGCTATAATAATGTTCTAGCAAAAACGTCTTTTGCACTAGTTGCAAAATAAAACACTTTAATAAAATAAATATCATGCTTAAACAGCCAAAACTCTTTGAAAAGCAAGCTTTGAAGTACATGTGAGAAGTCACTGTATCATCAAAATTCTTTCAGAAGGACTAGTAAACATGAATACTTCACAACAAAATATTTAAAGGGGTCATATGATGCGATTTCAGTTTTTCAATCTCTCTTTGGAGTGTTACAAGCTCTTGGTGCATAAAGAAGATCTGTAAAGTTGCAAAGACTAAAGTCTCAAATCCAAAGAGATATTCTTTATAAAAGTTCAGAGTCAGCCACACCTACCTAAAACGGCTCGTTCTAACACGCCCCCATATGTCTAGTCACTATGTGGAAATATTAGCATAATGCCGCCCAAATGTGCACGCAAAGAAAGAAGGTGTGGTTTCAGGAACAGCAGTAGTGTTGATGCAGCCATGTCAGGGAGACGCTGTGTGATTCAGTGCGAAAGCAAAAGCACTTTATTTGGCCTTCCGGAAGTAGATGCAATTAGGAATCATTGGTTAAGATTTATTTAAAACAGAACAGCACAACCCAGCTGTTCGAATTTGTGCAACGCATTTTATGGACGACAGTTTTTTGAACCTAGAAGAGTACAAGGCTGGCTGTGCACAAAGGCTATTTAAAAAAAAGAAAAAAAAGGTCAATTCCGTCTTTGCTATGACAATCTGGCACTTCTGAATCAGCGACTGTAAGTATGTTTTGTTATTAGTTGAAGTATTTGCTATTGACTGTTCAAATGCGGAGTTTTGCGCAGCGCAGAGTAACGCGTCATGTGGATGTGTGAGGGGAACAGGGTCACATCAAAGGAGAGTGAACTGCCTGTCAGAAAT